GACAGTGGAGTGTGAGTCTCCGAACAAAGGTTTTCTGCTTCCACAAGAACTCAAATCCGAGACCTTGTTTCAGCAACCTCAAGCTGCATACCACATGAGCCAACCCCTCTTGATTAATCACGTAGATTTTTAATTTCATCACAATAATATTTTTTTCTTTTAATCCGTAAATTTGACCACAATGTGAACAACTTTGACTTAATTCCCGGAGATTTATTTGTTTTTTTACAAGGAAATCAAGATATTTGAAAAAAAAAAAAAATAATAATTTTCCTTAATTGCACTGCCTTGTGTTTTCATATTTTTAATACATATTATTTTCTCAGAAATTTTATAAATATTAAATATGACTAATATGCACGCAATGTGAAACGATTCATTAGTAGGTTTTGTATCTGAATTTTTAATGTGCCGTGTTGTGTTGGTATGGCATTTTATAAATGAAAGACAACATGGGTCTATCTGCCAGCTATGTTTGACTATATTTTCTTTAGTATAATAATAATAATATAATTCAAGAAAAGATGACTTTTGATTTCTTACCACTAAAAGGTCTTCGCCCGTTCGCCGCCGCATCCATGTTACATGCTTGCTTGCTCGTGATTCCAATATTTTGTTGTAGGTTTGTTATTCTTAATCACAATCATTTTGGCCAGAAAAATTCTTCCTATGACGAAAAGAAAAATCCCCAAACTTCAAACCTTAGTCGCCGCCCCTCTCTTGTCAATTAGGCACCTACCCGAGCAGAATTGCACAGAGCTTCTCGACGGGATGTCGTTGGGCCTCGTGGCCTGATGCTCGGTGAATCGCCGTGAGGAGGGGTTTCTGCCGGCAATGACGAGGTCCAACTCCGGCCAAAGGTTTCGCCGATGAATTGGTTGCTAGGACGGCGAGGAGGGCCGCCGTTCTTCGTGTTAGGCTCAGATGCGCAAATGCGGAAGGTGTAAATTAAATAACGATGTGAAATAGTGAACAATAATCTCAATCTCATCAACTCAAAAATGACAAAAGAAATCTCTTACAATAAAACATGAATAATTCTTTTTTGATGTGGAAGATTATATTAAACTGCGACCACAGAGTATACTAAAAATATCCTAAATAAATAAAATATGCAATAAAGAAGACATCAAGATTTAACGTGGAAAAACCTTCACTGTAGAGGAAAAAACCACGGAACAACCTCTGAACAGTTTCACTATAATTTCAAGATAATTGTAATATCTTTTCATACCCCCTATACTAGAAATGTGAAATATAGTGACCTAGTTAGGCCCCACTCTATTCAAATATTACAAACAAGGAATAATAGAGATGATACCAACTCGATTTATTTTTTTCCACACTAACAAGATTTACTCGAACACTCTATTTTTCTCTCACTGAAAAATTAACACTCCAGAAATTGTATGTTGTTTCTGTTCCTTATTTTTTCTTCTTGCTCTTAGGGCATCCACATTGGTTATTATTATTATTATTATTATTATTTTCCATTCATTCAATCAAAAAGTAACTCTCTCTCTCTCTCTCTCATCCACATCATCTACACATCATATTTTCACTAATTCTCTCTCCATTTAAACACACACTCACATCCCTACACATTCATTTAAAACAAATATGGGACCCTTTATATCCATTAATTCAATATAAATTTTAATATTCTATTTTCAATAAAAATAAAAATTTAATATTTTTAAATTATAATAATAAATTTTAAATTCATGAAAATCATAGAATACTACAAGACCAAAATAACTTAAATTAATGTTACACAAGAAAAAATAGTACAATTTGAATTTATATATATTGGAAAGTGTGATATAGATAAAAAAATATATATAAAAAAAAAAAAGAGTTAA